TATAGCGCCCATTCATAACAGAAGTTATCTCAGGACACTTTTCAAATAGAGCAGGTCTAGACCGAACTCCTTATAACATTATTTACGGAGACCCAACAGTACCACCATGAGCAAGCACTTGGCGACAAGGGCAAGGAAAAACTGCCTGTTAAAAGGCAGAAACCTAGGACAGACCCTTCGGCTCTAGGTGGATGGTCGTCTGTCTCGACCAGTTGGGGTGAGAGAGAGAGAGGCAGACAGACAGACAGACGCACAGTAACAACAGTATTGGCAATGGCAATCTAGCAGGACCATGGCCGGAGGCTCCAACAGGATCGATAAGAACCTGCAAGACGAGAAAGCACAAGAACTCCGGGGAAGAAGTGAAGTTAGTAACATGCATTAATGGGACATGAATGAGTGCAGAAAGATAGAGGAAGAGAGGAGCTCAGTGCACCATGGGAAATCCCCCGATAGTCTAGGCCTATAGCAGCATAACTAGGGGATGGTTCAGGACTCACCTGATCCAGCCCTAACTATAAGCTTTATCAAAGAGGAATGTCTTAAGCCTACTCTTGAATGTGGTGAGGGTGTCTGCCTCCCGAACCACAACTGGAAGCTGGTTCCACAGGAGAGGAGCTTGGTTACTGAAGGCTCTGGCTCCTGTTCTACTTTTAGAGACTATAGGAACCACAAGTAGCCCAGCATTCAGAGAATGTAGTGTTCTAGAGGGGTAATAGGGTACTATGAGCTCTTTAAGATATGAAGGGGCCTGACCATGAAGAGCTTTATAGGTGAGGAGGAGGATTTTAAATTCAATTCTACATTTTACAGGGAGCCAATGCAGAGAAGCTAGTACAGGAGAGATGTGATCTCTTTTCCTAGTTCCTGTCAGTACTCGTGCTGCAGCGTTCTGAATTAATTGGAGCGTTTTAATGGACTTATTGGGGCAACCTGATAATAAAGAGTTGCAGTAATCCAGCCTTGAAGTAACAAATGCATGGATTAGTTTTTCTGCATCTGTCTGTTATAGGATGTGTCTAATTTTTCTAATATTACGTAAATAAAAGAAGGCGGTCCTAGAGGTCTGCTTTATGTGGGAGTTAAATGACAAATCCTGATCAAAGATAACTCCAAGATTCCTGACAGTGGTGCTAGAGGCCAAGTTAATGCCATCTAGAGTAACTATATCTTTAGACAGTGAGTCTCTAAGGTTTTTGGGGCCAAGAACAAGAATTTCGTTTTTTTCTGAGTTTAACATCAGAAAATTGCAGGTCATCCAGGATTTTATGTCCGTAAGACATGTTTGTAATTTAGATAACTCGATCTCGATAGATATAACTGCGTATCATCTGCATAACAGTGAAAGTTAATGGAGTGATTCCTAATAATGTTGCCTAAAGGGAGCATATATAAAGTAAATAGTATTGGTCCAAGTACAGAACCTTGTGGAACTCCATGACCAACTGTAGTATTTATTGAAGATTCATTGTTAACATGTACAAACTGTGAACGATCTGATAAATATGACTTAAACCAGTTTAGTGTGGTTCCTTTAATGCCAATTTGATGGATGGAAAGAATATCATGGTCAATGGTGTCAAATGCAGCACTAAGATCTAATAATACAAGTACAGAGACAAGTCCATTGTCAGAAGCAATCAGAAGGTCATTATTAACTTTAACCAGAGCTGTCTCTGTGCTATGATGAACTCTAAATCCTGACTGAAAATCCTCAAATAAACTATTGTTATGTAGAAAGTCACACAACTCTTTGGCGACTACTTTCTCCAGAATCTTAGAGAGGAAGGGGAGGTTAGAGATTGGTCTATAGTTGGCTAAAACCTATAGTTGGTCAAGAGTGGGCTTTTTAAGAAGGGGTTTAATTACAGCTACTTTAAAGGACTGTGGTACATATCCTGATAATAAAGAAAGATTAATCATATCCAGTAAAGAAGTGCCAATTAAGGGAACAACTTCTTTAAGCAACCTAGTTGGGATCGGGTCTAATAGACAGGTTGATGGCTTTGATGAAGAAATTATTGAGGTTAACTGATGAAGATCGATGGCAGAGAAACAGTCTAAATATATATCTAAGTTTACATTAGTAAAAGTCCCTGAACTTGGAGAGCCACTGATAAGGGCTGATGGCAGTTGGTGATTAATTTTCTCTCTAATAGTAATCATTTTATTATAAAAGAAGCTCATGAAGTCATTGCTACTTAAGTTTATGGGGATATGTGGCTCAATAGAGCTGTGACTCTCTGTCAGCCTGGCTACAGTGCTGAAGAGGAACCTAGGGTTATTCTTATTTTCTTCTATTAGTGCTGAATAATAGGCTCCTCTGGCATTACGGAGGGCCTTTCTATAAGTTTTAAGATTATCTTGCCAAATTGAGCGATGTTCTGATAATTTGGAAGAGCGCCATTTCCTTTCAGATTTCCTAGCTATTTGCTTTAACTGGCGGGTTTGGTGGTTATACCAGGGTGCTAGTCTCCTATGTTTTAATAATTTCCTTTTTATATGAGTGATAGAGTCTAATGTTGATCGTAGTGAGCCTGCAGCACTATCGACAAGATTATCAATTTCAGAGGGACTAAAGTTGTTAAAGGATTCTGTTAAATTTCAATGCATAGACATCTGCTGTAGGAAGTTTTGCCTAATGGCTTATAATCTAATAGTATGAATTCAACAGTTATTAATTAATGGTCAGATAGAAAAGGATTATGTGGGAAGACTATTATCAATGCCATATGATATTGTCATAGGTCAAGGTCAAGAGTGTGATTAAAACAATGAGTTGGTTTATTTACACTCTGACAGAAGCCAATTGAGTCTATTAAAGATATAAATGCATTACTAAGGCTGTCATTGTCAACATCCACATGAATATTAAAATCACCTACAATAATTACTTTATCTGATTTAAGGACTAAACTTGATAAAAACTCTGAGAATTCAGATATAAAATCAGAGTACGGTCCAGGAGCGCGGTACACTATAACAAATAGAACTGGCTGCAGTGTTTTCCAGTTTGGGTGAGAAAAACTAAGAACAAGGCTTTCAAATGAATTATAATTTAGTTTAGGTTTAGGGTCCATTAAAATGCTCGAATCATATATGGCTGCCACTCCACCTCCTCGGCCGGTGCCTCGAGGAATGTGAGTATTAATATGACGGGGGGGGTGGATTCATTTAGGCTAACATACTCCTCGTGGGACAACCAGGTCTCAGTAAGACAAAGTAAATCAATATCATAATCTGATATTAATTCATTCACTAGAACAGCTTTAGAGGACAGAGACCTGATATTTAACAGCCCACATTTCATTCTCTTATTTTGTGCTACTGCAAAGTTAGTTTTAATTTTTTTTAATTTTAATTGCGGAGTTTAGTTTTTAATTAGTTTTTATGTTGAACTCCTCTTGTTTTTATTTCTTTAAATAATTTAGGTGGTCGGGGGACCGACACAGTCTCTATGGGGTTTGTTTTAAAGAAAGCGCAAGTGTGTAAGACAGCAGCTCTGCTTCCTGATCCCAACTCTGGACTGTCAGTTCACCATATTAACTGAACCAGTTCAGAATTATAAAAAAACAAAACATTGCTTTGTGTTTAGATAGATTTACTTAACTTGGTGCAACCATCAATGAAAGAAACATTAGTTTCTGTTTCACAGTACATGCCAATCATTTTGTGCATGTTACACATTTACAGTTTTTACAAACAGCTTTTCTACCCATTTGACCTTAGCGCTAAATAGAATTTAAAGACTACGAAAGTTACATGAGTATGAATATGTTATATCAGTAGATTAAGCTATGCATTTTGGTCATTCTGATAATTTTTATAAGGAACAATTAATTATAAAAACTATCCAGGTACAATGCATGCATATAGTGTCTCCATGGAGGATGTGTCAGACACAATATATGGAAACTGAATAGCTAACCCAGCAAGGCGTCCATCAGTGTCCATGGTGACTAGTGAGTAGGGATTGGTTTGGGAAACTTTCAGCAACCACCCTCGGCATCAGTTGTTAGAACACCTTGCAATTCTCTAAAGAAAAAGAAAGAACAGCAGAGGGCAATAACGTCATTTTGATTCAATCTGCTCTTAAACAAAGCCACATGTGGTTTCTGTTTCTTTGTCAGTATCTAATGATATATACAGTAGAAGACCCATTACAATCTACCAATCACACATCTTTTTTTTCAAGTTCTCCAAAATGAGGGCAACATGGAAATGAGGTGAAAGATTAAGGGGAGGGCCTGTGCCAAAGCCAGTATCATGTCTGCATTAAAATGTCTATAAACTCTAGAGCTATGTTCTATATGTAGTTGAGTTGTTTACTTAGATTATGCCAAATGTTTCTAACAATGTTCAAACTCAGAGAAACGTGTCTTTTATTCAGGTAACGCTGCGTTTCACCGGTCGCCTGTCTATGGCATCATATTCTGCCAGAAGCTGTCATACACTGACTGTTTATCCAGTCTGAAGCCACATTGTTACCATCCACTGTTTAGATCTTGGTGCTTTTTAACTCTAGATTTGAACCATGTGAAGGATTTTAGTCATCGGACATCTGGATCTTAAGTTATCAGAGAAACAAGCTGAGCTAACGTTAACGTTCGGCATGCAGCCCCTCCGGTATTAATAACCTGTACCAAAACAAGCTCCCCCTCCTCCACTCATTGATGACACAAATTGTGTCTTTCTAACAGTGTTACCAGGCTTTCAAGTTCAACCTATTTGTCAAACTAACAGTGTTAATGTTGGACAATCCTGCAAAACCCTGGATTATGTTCATAGCAGTGTTTGTGTCAAAGCCAATGTTTTTAAATAAATTATTCCTATATTATTTGCGCAGCATGACTGGACTGAGTTAACAGAAGTGCCAGTACAAAAAGATTTGTAATTAAATTACAAATTACTTCAATGTCCTAAAAATGACTCACTGATATTCTAAATGTTAAGGCATATCATTTATTGTCATCAGATTTACATCAATTTTCTTTGTCTAGTGTATGACAAGCAAGGGTTCCTCCTGAAGCTGGATGGTAGTCTGTGAGTATACATTTAACTTTTTTTTAATTAATTTTGGCGTGGGGGTTTGTTTGGTTAAGTTGCATGGACCAACACTGTAGAATTGTTCCTACCATTATTGTAGTAATATGTACTGTATGTATAATTTATCTGTACTTAAACTACTTAATCACTGCTCGACTCCATGTCTCCAGGCCTTTGGAGCTGGTGTACAAGTATGGGAATCTCAGTGAGGGAGCCTGTAAGCCTGGTTTTGCTGCTGCCAAGATGACTGCCATTTATCCAAAGTAAGAATACTTACCATATGTTTCTACACATTTGAAATAAGCTCATAGACAGATAGGGTCAGATAGACTGACCCATGCAAATACATGATATCAATAATGTAAGGCAAGGTTTCAAAATGAGAATATGGTTGGTGCTATTATTGATATTCTGAAGTTCTGAATAACATTTATGAATACATTAGAGACTTTTTTTTTTTTAAAGCTATTTGGGTGAATTATTAGATTTTGTCTACCTTGGGAATTCCATGCCTTTACAGTTTTATGTTAGGTACCCACAAATTACACAATTTGTTTGTAGGGCAAAAAAGTAACTAAAACTAATACTTTATTTTAAAATGCATTGACACATCAGATGTGAAAGCACTAAGTATACAAGAAAATATAAAAAGTTGTCACTGAAAGGCGTTTTTGTTGTTTTGTCCACCCCAGTTATATCAGTGAGGGTGGGTTAAATAATAGGAACACCTCTGTAAAATGCAATACAGCTCAACAGTGCCACAAATTACATGGCAGCTGTAGCTCAGGAGGTAGAGCGGGTAGTTTACTAATCAGAAGGTTGGCAGTTGGTCGATCCCTGGCTGCTTCCACTGCATGTTCATTTTTATCTATTCTAAATGTCCCTTGATTTCTTTTTGTCCCATTATTTTTTCTCATTTTAATGCTCAACCTGGAAAAGTGGATCGGCTTGCTTTGTGCAAATGTTGTTTTTATTGAAAACAACATTGGCATATACTGTAGTGTTCAATTTCACACTAACATTCTCACGTGGAGCAAATAATCTCTCACACAATGTAACACTGCAGGGGCGTAGCAAGCTTTTCAAAAGTGCGGGGATGGATGTGAGGGGGGCGGGGCATCACCTACAAATTGAGAATCGTAATGGCTGTGTGTTATGTTATTACATGTTTTTATTTGAATTAATTCATACAAACTCATTAACTTTGCCAACCCAATAAAGTTGGCTTCACATATGTTTTCATATTTTTTGACCAAACAATAAAAAAGATGAATACAATGACAGAAGGGTACAAAAGGTATAAAATACAAGATATAAAAAGCTTCCCATTTAAATGAGTGATACTAGAAAAGTATAAAAACACACTCCGTATAAAATACTAAACACATCTTCAAACTAACAGGAAATAAAAACGGTCTTAAAAAAATTGGAACAAACATGACTAATAAAATAAAAATTGTATCTGTGAAAATGAATGCCTAATTGGGTTTGAACAATTTTCTCAATTATGTCACATAGATATTTAACACAGCTTGTTGATATGATAATTGAATAATGTCTTATATTTTATTATCAATATTGAAAACTTCAGGCTTCATATGAACTATGAACCTAGCTAGTTCCCGCCTCCTCAGCACGAGCTGAACGATAAATCTAACACACCAAGAGAGGTGGGACTTAAGGCAGAACAGCCAATCATCAGCCGGTCACACTAAAACTTTTTAAAAGTATCATCTTTTGGCATCCATTTCGGCGTCTCGCGCTCGCCATCTGCTCAAAACATAACGTCTACTACTCTTAAGCAAGTGTGTGCGGCGTGCCTGTTGTTTTGTTTCCGGTCTAGCTAGATCCGGTGTGGTGTTGTAGTTTTTTTTCACATGCTGTTGCAACAACTAGTAACATTAGAAAGACTACAAAGTGTGCTAGGTCAAAAAGAACGCTAATCTCGCGATAAAAAAATTGACGCCATTAATAACGCGTTTAACAGACAGCACTAGTGTGAACCATCCATTGCAGCTGTGATTGGCAGCTAAGAGGTCAGGACCTGACACCAGGGCCAGTGGTCAGAGTGACAGCCAGCTAGTTTGATGTCTAGATGTTCATAGTACTCTGACGGGTCTGCATGTGAATACCAGTGTCTGACATACAGTGTCTGGCACAGTGGTAAATGGTAAATGGACTGATAGATGAATGTACTTGTATTCCAACCACTCAAAGCGCTTTTACACTACATGCCACATTCACCCTTTCACACACATTCACACAGCGATGGCAAAGTCCATCAAACAGAAACTAACTCATTAGTTTCTAGGTCTATCATACACACACCGATGCACAGGATCGGGAGCAATTAGGAGTTCAGTATCTTGCTCAAAGATACTTCGACATGTGGAGAGGCAGGAGGAGCCGGGGATCGAACCAACAACCTTTCCGATTAGGGGATGACCCGCTCTGCCTCTGGACCACAGCTGCAGTGGGACAGTGTTAACCATTATCGCCTAACTAACTAACTTAATGTTGCCATCTTGAAGGCAGACATAACCTGTACAAGCTTGTCTCAACATTGAGCTGTGCCTACAGTAGCATGCTAGTCTACCTATGGGAGATGCTACATTAGTTGTTTCCACTCTAATTTCCCCTCACAATGACACAATAAATTATTGCAAGATGTGTACGAGTTTTTATCCAGTTTGAAGCCACATTGTTACCATCCACTGTTTAGATCTTGGTACTTTTTAACTCTAGATTTGAACCGGATGAAGGATTTTAGTCATCAGACGTCTGGATCTTAAGTTATCAGAGAAACAAGCTGAGCTAACGTTAGCATTAGCTCGGCTCGCAGCCCCTCCGGGACGTCCTTTGTCTGTCCAACAGCGTGGGAGAAACAGTGATTGTTAAGGTGGAACTGCTTTATTCTGTGTTTTTAGCGATTTTAATCAGTGAGTCAGTTTGTTTTGGAGAGGAGGAGACCTCTGTGGATCATTGGGCTCCCAGTAGAAACCTCCTGAACCATGAACACTGAAGGAATCCTAACCAGGAGAGTGCAATGACAGCAATGGTCGTCATCATCATCATCATCAACAACAACAACAACAACAACAACAACAGACTTTGTGTTTTTCTATTGTTTGGAGACCCTTAGCGGCAGAAATTGCATATTTAAGTTACAGTTTAGCCAACCAAGGATGCTCGGTTACCATACCTTTATAATATTTTATGCATTTTAAAGAAAACTGACTATACTATACAAAAACACATATTTACATAATCCATTGGTTACTTCTGAAAGTTGTGGTGGCATTGCAGTGGGTGCATCACCATCTATTGCCTGGCAGAGATCCGTAGTCTACTCAGTGCACTCTTCTGGTTATATATTTTTTATATCTAAACATCGTGGTAAATCTATAGCTGTTAGAGGCTCTTTGCCTACTGTGATGGCAATTTGTTTAATAAAGCATACAAAGTATGATCTTGTCTTTCTTTAAGGTTTTATTCAAGTCATCCATGAATGGTCTCAACGCAACCGTCACACACTCTCGTATGTGAAAGTCCGAAAGAGCCTCGATTGGCAGAAGCAGTATGGTTTTATCCCTGTTGGAGCACACAGTTATACATTCCTGAATTGTGGGACAGTAAACAAACAGATAGTGTGGTGAGATGATCATGTCCTTGGCTTCTTAGTGAAGTCTCAACATCCCGCTGTTTACTTGGACATAGAGTGTTAGTGTTAGAAACAGGGTTAAAGGTTATGCATATAATAGCCTTTTTAACACTTGCGTATGGTTTTACAATGACCAGGTCAAAGGGTTGTATGGGTTCTTAAAAATTGCCATTACGCTACCTTGCTTAATGGTAAAGTCCACCCCTGTGCTTTTGGTGCTCTGGAGAAGCACCTAATTCACCTACTGTATGCCTAAAAACTGGCCTAAATCAAGTATTCTCAGTCAACCAGTCCTATTTTATAGACAGCTCTCTGAGGCCAGAGTGGTATGATAGAGGAATGATCCCATTTCTGCCTCTGCATTATTAAAGACTGAAGAAGTCCCAACACTGGAAAGCCCTTCACCTGCTTATGTTTTTAGCACTATGTATAAAATGATGTCAGAAGATGCAGTGGTCTAAATGGGTCCATGTGTTGTGCAGATCTATTTCTGTCCTCTTCTGCTCTACTGTTGTCCCAGTGCGTGAGAAGACCTCAGGCCAATTCACTTACCCACTTACTTTCTAAGCACGAGAGACACGCAACCCTCAAACCCGCCAGGCCCTTCAGACTGCAGCGTTAATGAAGTGTGCTCACAGAGTCCAGATTGTAACCTGTTAAAATAACAGGAGGATTTCTCTCTGGAGGAATGAGTGGTAAAAAGCCCATGACCCATTTATTCTGCTGTCTTTGCTCAGCTGGTTCCTCTGTTGCAGGTGACAGCAGGGGATGCAGGTTAGAGAACCGTCCACCTGATCTTTTTGTCTCTTATTGCAGTCAAAGTAATTTCAAAAAACATTTTACATCTATTCATTTGCTTAATTTGATAACCACCATGTTTTTACACATTTAATCACTTTATTTACTACATTTTTATTTTATTTAGATTTCTACCTTTTCGTAAGGTCAGTCTGTCAGTCAGTTGCATCACCACTTTGGTCAAGATGGATTTTTGCACATTCTGGAGCCCCTGAGGATGAATCCTAATGATTTTGTTGATCACCTAACTAAGCGTTTATGTTAATTTACTCGTTTTTCACACTGAATCAACTCTATGTAAGAATGCATTGTATCAGCCTTATTGACCGACATCGGCCTATGGGTAAATAAGTGGCATTCACCAATGTCAATCAATTTTGTTCTGGCTTAATGTTTCCCAACTCTGATATTGGAGAAATAAACAGTTTCATTTTCCAGCCCCGGCACAAAGTGCACGTAAACACCGTGCAGCAGCACGGACATTAAGCGGCTGTTCAGCTCTGAGTTTCACATCTTGTATGAGAAAGGAAAGAGACTGAGCTGCAACAAGGCAGAGGTGATTGTCTTTGTAGATTTATTTTGTTTCCTGGCACAAAAGGCTGCATAAATAACAACAAAAAACAACTTAGGTATAGGCTGTTATTAGAGTTTAGCTGCACTTTCCTCCAGGGCTTTTCTACATTCTCTCTTTCTCCTGCCCTGTCTGTTTTTCCTCGACACTGCTTTAGCCACGTGCACTGCATGCACTGACTGACTGTTGATGGCAAGCAGAGATCATACCACAAGCAGGCTTGGGGGCTGACA